AACACACTCGTTGGGGCCTATACGGGTGTATGATTTTATCGATGAATCTTTCTTATAAAAGGCTTTGAAGGCCTTATATGAATGTATAAAATAAATATTCCGGTCGAGCTTGTGACCGCATATTTATTTAATAGTTCGAACCATGGTTTAAAATTGCGCAATATGAGGCCTGCCTTCGCGCAATTCCAGAAAAAAACGCCTCGATGTTTACGCCTCGAGTTTTTTTTATGAGGCTTCCGCCTCAACTTGGTTGAGGCCCGCCTTGAGGCCCGCCTCGCCTCACTGGCATGAGGCTTACGCCTCACGCTATATATATTAAAACTTACATAAATCTTGAAGTAAATGCCCGACATTGGACTCTATAAGAGAGGAGGAAGGGGAGAGAGCAGTTCATCATAATGATGATTCAAATGAAGAACCCCTTAGTGATGACAGTGCTGATGACTTATGAGTTCTTATGTGATATGTCATTGCTATTTATTTTTGGAAATTTGAATTATATGTAAATGAAAAGAATATTGGGATTTGGAAAAGATAGAATTTTGAGTTGAACTATATTTCATGTTGTCTTATTATTGGGATATTTTGATTTCACTTCATATCTTATAATTTTTTATGTTTTATATTATTCACTCATTAGTATATAAAAATTTTATCATTTTCTGTTTACGCAATCTTTTGATTTTGAGGCTTACGCCTCAAAACGCCTTGAGGCTTACGCCTCGCCTCACGAATGAAAAACGCCTCAATACTCGAATACGCAATTTTAAACATTGGTTCAAACCATGTTGAGAATGATTGGGTTCGAACTTGGATTCATCATTTAACCCACGCAACATCCCTAGACGTCATGTGTATACCAGCAACATGCTCGTCGGGGCCCATGCAGGTATTTGGGGGCATTTTGTAATTATTTTGTTAAATCTTGTCGACTCGTAGTTACTTGCTTAGAAGTATCAGGTTCAAATTTATTGACCCGCGCAGCATCCCTAGACGTCACGTGTGTACCAATAACACGCTTGTCGAGGCCCATGTGAGTCTTGTGATTGCACTTACCCCTTTTGTGTACCTATGTATATACAAACTATAGTGCATGTGCACGGGGTACTTTGAAATATATGTGAATGCCTTCTGGCCGCTTGCATGGATGTTGCGGATTCAATGGCATTACATAGCAGACTCTGAATTGAGTTATTTGCTGCATTGTACAGGTAGACTGTCGTGTACTACTTACATGATTTATGTAGACAGATTGTTGTGCACTAACTAATCTCTTGGTTTTTATTTGTAGATGTTTGTAGATGGATCACTGTGTGCATGATAGATCTTCTACAGTCACTTGTGGGCACACTAATTTCTTTCACTAATATTCCCAGATGAATGCGATATGAATTGCTACATCTTCTCGCATGACTGCTACGAAGAATACATCAACTCTGACTTTGTTACTTTTAGAGTTGAATATCCACTTGTTCTTTGAAATCGATAGTAGAACACCATTACACTTATTGTACATCAACCTTGTGTCGTGGAAGACTGAGGCATTCATCTGCATTTTGACAAGTGTTGACTGTAGGATCTCTCCATCCTCACTTCACAATTTCTTCTATGTTTTACTTGTGATCTTTCGTATTTATAGCAATTCATTGGTCGCTATTTTCCAATAGACTATATCAAGCATAGTTGCTTATAGATAGAATACTATGTATTTATTTGCTAATTAGCCATCATTGGTTGAAAGAAAGTTACCTCTTTCACATTCTTCTTGCTTTACCTCCTACATTCTTCGTGCATGATAGCTAGCAAATCACAATATTTATTACATTGCTTGCGGGTTTAACTGTATTTGTTGATATATTGATGTTGATTGTAGAACATTGCCGCATCTATTATACGATGGATCCATATTTGTTACAAAAGTATTGTAGATTGTAGGGATACCCTAGCATTTTCCTGCATGATGACTTGAGAGTAAGTCGCCCTATCTCCCACGACTCAAGCCGTGTCATTCACAATCTTCTTGCTTCTTGTAAGCAAAATATACTTGCATGTTCTTTGTTCTTAAGGATGATTTACAACTAACATGATGGCCTCATAATTTAGATCTTCTTTTGCAATCATATCCTTTGTTGTGATCACCCCGGCCATCATCACTTGCTAAGTGTTTGAACCCACTATCTCTCTTCTAGTGTTGCTTGTAAGTAACACTTCACTTGCAAATTCTTTATCTTCGGTGATAATTTTCAATGAGCTTGATGTCATCATCATCAATTTCTTCATTCTAATTGAAGTGGTCACCACAAGTTGAATGTTCTTATCCAAGGAGTACCATGTTCCTTTTGATCGTTTAAGTAAAACTTGAATTTGCATGTCTTTGTCATCTAATTAAAATCAAGCTTCAAGTTGTTTGAATTTAGTTTGAGTTTATCATTCACTTAGGTTCAAATTAAGATCATTTTCAAGTTCTGTATGATCTTCTGCATTATTCTTTCAAATTCAAATCAAGTCCAAACTGAAGTTCTTGCTCGAGTTCAAATTCGAGCTTGAGTTCAAGTACTCAAGTTCTGTCCCTTGCGGTCCTTTGAGTTCAATCAAGTTCATTGTTCAACTCATTTAAGTTCAAGTTCTTGAGTTTATTATTGCTCAATTAAGTCCAAATCTTATATTGTTCTTTGAATTCAATCAAGTTTATATTATTCAAATTCATTTGAGTTTAAGTTCAAAGTAGTCCATTATTCTTGATTCCAATCAAGTTCAAATTCATAAGTCCTTGCAAATTCTTTGTGCTCAATCAAGTCCAAGTACGGTCTAACGTTCACCCGAAATTTCGGCAACCTCCCGGCGTCTCCCCCGTTTAGGGAAAAACTACGAGAAACTGGGTCTTCCCACCACGCGCAATAAAGGCGTGTATGGGGTCTTTGACGGTACCTTCTTTAAAAAGACAGTTTGCTTTCCCCCCGCTCGAGCGTACTTATAAGTGACCCAGCCTCATCGTAGGTGTCGCACCGAGGTCCCATCCCACCACGCACAATAAAGGCGTTTATTGGCAACTTTTTTGTGCGCCACAAACTTCGAAATGAGGCTTTTAGACAATTACTCGCCTCATCATAGGCATCGCGTCGGGGTCCTATCCCACCACGCGCAATAAAAGCGTGTATAGGCGATTTTCTGGTGCGCCGCAAACTCCAAAGGCGGGAATCTAAGTTTCAGAAATACATACCTTCGCGGGGTTGTTGGCACGCTGATCGAGGTAAGAGGCACTTGCATTTTCTTTTTTCTTATTATAATTAATTATATTTAAAATTAATTATAATGAATAATTAACTATAATTAATTATAATTAATTATAATTAATTTAAATTAAAATAAATAATTATAATTAATTTTAAGTTATTATAGCCAATTATTATTAATAATTAACAATAATAATAAAAAATTAATTAATTATAATTTACTTTAATTAAAACTAATCATTATTAACAATGATTAAATATAATTAAATATTTAATTATAATTAATTTTAATTAAATATAATTAATTAGTATTATTATTAATCAATTATAATTAAAAATAATTAATTTTAATTTTAAAAGAAAGAATACATAATTTGAGTAATATTTAGACAGGATTTAAGCTAATTCATGTCTCAAGAGTAGCTTTTGAGCTAAATTTTGTTTCAACAACAGGATTTAAGCTGATTTTAAGTAGGATTTAGACAATGTTAAATCCCTCAGCAGTTAAATCCTCTTTTAGACACTAGAGTAGGGAGGTTGGAAGTCTTTGGCTTGGTGTTCAGAAGAGACAGAGAGAAGAGGCGGAGAAGAAAGGGCTTTGTGGCAGTTGGAGTCGGAGAGCGGCCGCCAAAGGCTTCGTTTGGTTGGGTATTTAACGACGTGAATGAACCTCCTCGAGCATGGTTTGGGCAAGAATAGCGGGATAGAGACTTGAACGGCGCCGAATACATAGTAATTCAGCGGGATCTCTACAGTATTTGCGCAGGTATGGATTTGAGCATGTATTTTCATTTTTGCCCCCTTTTGTTTTGTGTTGATTGTATACCGAGGTCAACATGGTCAAACCAATCACAGAGCTGACGAGACCAATTGCGGAGACGGGATAGCTGAAGCGACGAGACCAATTGCAGAGCTGACGCGACGCGAGGCACATACAGTCACATTCTTGAGTCAACTCGGGTTGACTTCGGGTTGCCGAGTTCACTCGAACCCGACCCGTTTTTCAAACAGGTCAAAAATCCGAACGCAAACCCGACATGTTTACTAACCGGGTTGACCCGAACAAGGATTTTTCAGGTCAGATCCGGGTCGGGTTTTGGGTCAGGTCAAAAATTAACACCCCTAGCCCGGGGAGCTACAACAACGAAGACTCATTTAGCATTACAATGTGTTGCGACATACAATGCTTAAAAGATTGATCTTTCTGCCAAAATGAATATTTCTAATACTTTTGATGTTGTTTATATCTTTAAGTATTGCCGTCCTGTTGAATAATATTTGCAATCATAAGACTTGGGGCGAGTTTTCTTCAAGTGAATGAGATTGATGAAACATATGGCTGACTATTACTCTCCCAATAATCAGTTTATATTAGTTTTTTAGAATAGAAATGTATATTTTCTATTTTCTTGGGACTGCATGTTTCCTAATCTTGTCTTTTTTGTTACCCTGTTATTATATGTTATTACCGTTAGTTTGCATGAACTTTTTTATTATACATTGGAAAACTCACTTCAATTTTAGCACCTTTTGATCACTTGAAATAATAAATAAATAAAAAATTATTTACTTTTCTTCTCTTCTCTTTTAGGTTTTTAAAACCTCTCCTGATGCATAACATTTTTATACAGATATATGAGATGCTCGGTGAAATTTAAATTTATTATATATCATAAAAACAAACACTAAGATGACTCCATGTGCAATCAAGTTTTGGATGCTTAAGAGGATAAGAAATGTTAAACTTCTGAAGTTTGCAAAACATACCTGTTCTGACCATGCATAGAGCTGTTGAAGTATTCAAGCTCATTGAATTCCTGGCATGGCATTAGCTCAATACAGTTGACCCCGAGCTCCTTCATATTTTGTGAATTTTTAGCAGACAGAAATTCAGAAGAACTAGATGCTAATTTTAGTGGTTGGTCACTAAACAAAAACTATCCATCATGCATGAACTGGTTTGTATATTAAGCCTATGATAATCGAATCTCGAGCAAAATATGAAAAAAAAAAAAAATCAATATGCAGAAAGTCAACAAGCCACATAAGAGACAATGGGCCATAAACTACTTAAACAACAATGCCACTAACATGTAGCATCGATTCCAGTGGCTATATGTTCAGGTGACATACATGCTACACCAAGGCAATCAATAGCCTGACTTAACATTACTATTATGTATTGTTATTGCCGATATACATGATAATCTGAAATATTGTGGAGTTTAAAGTGGGTTCATACGTACATAACATCCACAGAACAGACAATTGCTATCCGTAGTATACTAAGCCTTTGTTTGGGACGACTTTCTTACTGCTTCTTAAAATAACTTTCAAGTACAATTTTTTTTTATTTTTGTTCTAAAAAGCTGCTTTAAGAAGCAGTAATAAAGTCATCCCAAACGAAGCCTAAGTCAGTCAATAGCCACAGTGAACATTACTGTTATGTCATGTGAATGACGACTTAGAACCACCAGCAATTTGGTTGAGTGGTGCTCGCTTGGATCTATAAAATGGAGGGCAGAGGTACAAATCTCTATTAAAAGAAGTATGCTAGTAAATGGACATCTTGATATTTAGAACCAAAAAAAAAAGATTTATTAACTTCCTTCCAACTTTTGCAGCATTTTTCTTGAAGAACTGCTTCGTAATCTACAATTATCATCATACAACTGTACATCTAATGTCAAGAAAATCTTATGTACAAAATATGCAACGAATAATATAGCTACTACACTGAAGTGAGGGCCTAGAAGTGCTCTGCAGCGCAAGTTCACGCTGTTTATGCACAGTATACAGACAAGCTGCTAACTATATAGGCAGGGAAATAAAAAAGAAGCCCATGATAGTTTCTAATATCTCATCATATGGAACTAATGGTTACTATTAGAAAAAAACATACCTTCAAATGGTCCAGCTTCTGTATGGCACCAATGTAAGTTCCTGGAAAATCTACCTTACTTGAATCATGTTTTGTGTAACCACGAACATGCATTTCATAAATTATCAGATCCTTTTGAGGATACCGTAAAGGCAAGTCGCCCTCCCAGTCAAACTGAAAATTCCGTTAATTGGAAATTAAGGAAAAAGAAATGCATATTTCAGAATTTTTTAAAAAGTTAAGGTTTTTCAATGTGTCTGAAGCTAGTAATATATTATCATTTATATTAAGCGTGTGAAAAAAAAAGTATTAAAGACCCCTTTATATCAATATACAGATTAAATGATTTTAGCACAATATAGAACAGAAAATAGAAATTTGTGATTGCAAAACGTGATGTATTAACAAGATATGATATAACTCAATTAATCCAGCAAATTGCAAAACGTGATGTATTTACAAGACATGATATAACTCAATGAATCTAAGATAAAGAGTTATGGTAAATGACGCTACATTGTAAGAACTGGTTTAGCCGTTTCATTGGAACCGGCTCCTATCTAAACACCGGACGAAAAAGGCAACGAATAGCGAGCTGAGCGGGCCGCACGCAGGCACGGGAGAACCTGGCAGAATTGAAACACAATCGAGAGAGGAAATGAGTACGGGAGTGAAAAACAACGACTCCTCATGCGAGATATCTTTGTTTCACTTTGTCCAGTTAAGCCAATCGAACGAAAGGAGCGACCGGAGACTGACATAGAGGAAGAAGGAGAAGAAGGTAGGTGTTTCAATTTTGTTCATTTTGTATGCAATTCTTTCATGATTTAAACCTACGAAATGATCCATTGTCTTCAAGTGAAGGCAAAGGAAGGAATTGAAAGAGAAAGATAAGAAAATTTTGAAAGAAGAAATTTTTTTGGAAAGAAAGAAGCAACTAGTATCCATTTTTGACGACGAAGAAAAGAGTAAGTGATTTAACTTATTATTTTACATTCAAAATTATTATTTTACATTTCTCTAATTGACAAAATAATAGGTGATTGTCAAATAGTAAGAAGAAATCTAGTAGTGAGTCTCAATTTCAAAGAGGAAGGAAGGAATCTTTAATCGAGATAATTAACTTAGATTTATTTTAGAGAATTCAGTGGATTATGAATTTTGTTTAAGATATAGAAAGTTAGAAGCTTTCGATATTATATAAATGATAGCAGATGCATTTGATGTTACCCTTAAGGATATTAGTCTAATCAATTCAATACTGTTTTGAATTTGAAAAGTCATTCAACGATAATTAATGAAATTAAATGTTATTTAGAACAGTGAAAGACTTTCATAATTGAGCTAAGACGAGTATTGAAAATCTATAGCAAAACTTGAGATTAAGAAGAAATTAAAGCACGAAAGTAATCATAGTGAGTAATTACAATTACTACATAGTACTTAATATTTCCTTTGATGTTACTTCAACTAATGAATATTATAGCATATCTTTATGTTCATTATTCAAGATGAATCAAATTAAGGAAAAACAATGTAAGAGATTACATTGTTTTATGGAATTTCACATTTCTTTTGTTTAATCGAAATTATTGGATATTGTATTATGTAGGTATATGAATATAATTTATATCCTCGTTATGCATCAAATTGAGAAATAATAAAATTAAAATGATAATGCAATATTAATATTATATATATATATATAGGAAAAGAATTAAATAAATCAGAATATTAAGAAAAATTAGTAAAAGAAGGAAAATATGTATGCATGCAAATACGGGAGTTCCTTCTTTATGATACTGGTTGAAGACGCAACGTACTCATGCACGTTAAATGAAAATAGAAATAGAAATGAAAATGGTTGTACCTTTATTGCAACAAAATATTAAAACGGTGCTCCTGCACTCAATGAAAGGGAAAATGAATAAATTAAAAATGAAAATGAATAAATGATAAAGAAATATAAATAAGTTATTTGGAAAGAAAAATTATAAGAATCTACATCATATAAAATGTTGTGTATATGTTAATTGTATAAGAACTGAAAAGGAACATGCATATTTTATTTTACATAGATAACTGTTATATTATAAGTTTGTGATAATCCACTAAGTTTATTATGTAAACTCAATTGTAAAACAAAATTTTCATGCAAATCTTCTGATAAATAGAAATGGCTGAAAGAGAGGAATATGCCTACAAAAGAATATGATCGAATGAAAACATATACAACTTTAGTATTTCTACATGTTCAAATATGTAAATTTTTAGTGGCTCTTCAATTTTATATGGGATGTTTTTTGTTAAATTGTTTATGTATTAGAAACAATGTATAAAACTGCCCGACTATCTGTTTTTGCCTCGTTAATTAGAGTTTTTGGGCCGAGGCGTGACAAAAGTGGTATCAGAGACCAAATATGTTATGAATTGTACTGAAAGAGCCATTAGGTTTATTATTTAAGTTAAAAAATGTGATGTGCTACTAAATTATGAATTTATAAGAGATTTAATAGTATTTCAAGACGCTGAATGATCCTGAAGAAGATGTGAAAAGGGTTGTACCAAATATTGTTGTTAATCTTGATGTACTGAATCAAATGATGATATCAATGACTCAATTAATTTAGGATTCAAGAAATTAACAATTATAAAGTGGTAGTAGCAATAATATGATCATGGATAAATATTCAAAGCTATTTCAAGATATGAGACAACCATCGTTTAAAGGAGTAGATGGACCAATTGAAGCAGAAAATTAATTTTTGAGTATTGAGAAGATATTAGAGATAATGTTCTACCCAAATGAAAGGAAGTTTTTATTTGTGACATGTGTACTTGATGGCAAGGCTAAAAGGTGGTAGAGGGGTTAGCACCAGGATAAATTTGGAGGAATATCAAGCATGCAGATCAAATGGGATGAATTTACTTAGATGTTTAGAAACTGATTTATGCCTCTTTCTGCAAGGAGGCAAATGCAGAATAAATTTTTAAGGCTGGTGCAAGAAGACAGATTTGTTATTCAGTATCAAACATAATTCACTACCTTATCCATATATGATCCTCAATTAGTTCATACTACAGAAGAAAAATATCATTGATTTTTATCTAGGTTAAAAGATGCTATCAAATAATCTCTTGTTTCTTTAGGGACTGAAGTTTATTCTGTATTAATGGAGAGAGCTAGATAGATTGAAATGAATATTCAAAATACCAAAAGGAGCATGATTCCAAAAAAGGAGGAATATAAATGTTATGAGATTTTTTCAAGCCGCAGCAACTTCCTTTCAATTGTTTTGACCTCTAGACCACCGCCTTTTCATAACTACTACCGCGAATCAATGGAACCGCACACCACCACCACCTCCTCTAAAAATTTTGGAGTATTATCCTCATATTTATGTTGATGAAAAATATTTATAAAAGAAAAAAATGATTGAAATAAATGAAGAAGAAACATATTGAAAGGCATTGAACTCCACAGGATGAGGTAGGGAAGAAATTAATTTGTCATGATGATGACTCAAATAAAGACCCCCTCAATGATAACAGTGTAGATGATTTCTAAGTTGTTGCCAATCATGTCAATTTTTTTAAAGAATTTAATGTGGATGAGTAGAGAACTGAGAAAGAAAGAATTTTGAGTTGAACTCTTTTTTTTTTTTTTGGATAAAACACAAATATATTAAAAAGAAAAAAAAGATACACGGAGAGAAACAAGCTTGTGGGAAAAAACTTCCACTTCCCAAGGACAAAAGGAGAAGGGATACAACAGGAAAAATACCCCAAATCAAGTCGTAGACAGAAACAAAAGAAAAAAAAAACCCCTCAAATGAGAAGGACCCTTTCATTGGTTTGTATTACGCAATAAAACCTAATAGAAACCAATGAAAAGAGGTCACCCATTCAGCACTTGAGGGGTCCAAGTCCCCACTGGTGAAATCTGTTGAAATCTTCTTCCTCTTCCTAGGGGAGGTGGCCAAAGCACATAAAAGCCCAAGTCGGAGGAGCTCTCTGTCCAACTGAGACTTGGATACTCTTCGTTGTTGCTTGCGAAAGTTCACAATCTTATTTGAAGTTTCTTCCGTTTGCTGTAACTTCTCGACCGTGAATAGGATAGGGGGATCAGCTTGTGGACAAGTGCCTTGATCTTTAGGAGCCCTCGATTTTCCCTTCCCTCCAAGGGAGGATTCTTCCTTGTTCTCATTAAGAGAGGGCTCTTCAACAACAATATGCTTTGGCTCATGAGGAGGGGAGGATGCTTGGGGGGCACTCTCGGTTGTGGCTTGCACTTTGGTTGGCGGTGACGACTGCATTGGGGGGGATTGAGGAGCACGGGTTGGAGCCTTGGAAAAATAAGCTCCATTGGCATGATCAATTAGATCACAGTCGAAGCAAAAGTTTGTAAGCCCTTCATATTCGACTCTTTGAAAAACCGTTCATGGAGCCCATTGATCCAAACCCCAGCTTGAAGCTTTTGAGAGAGATCAATTCTAACACAAATCCTTGCATAGAATGATCTTCCCCAAGTACTCGTATGTGAGTCCATCCACAAAGGTTCACCAAGCAAATTGGCAAGACGAGTGATGTTGTTCTTATCCCAGTACATGAGAGGGAGCTATGGAAGACGTATCCAAATAGTAGAGTGAAGCCCATGAAGAGAGTTGGGATAGGAGATAGGAGACCACTTGTCCATACCAATGATGTTCCATGCTATGATCCACGACCTACTCATGAGCACCGCATCCCTAGCCTCTATGCTTTGGAAAATACATATAAAAGAGTTTGGAGCTGTAGTAATAATATTGAATTCCCCAAAATGATACCACCAACATTTGAGCTCACCAAGAAGGAAGGGAAATGCAACCCTCCATCCCATGAGCTTAGCCACTAATGCTCTATCCAATTTGGCAATATTCTCGTGCACAGCTGCCACTTCCGGCTCCATGGACATGCCATCCTTGGCAAAGAAGATTTCACTTGGCATTTTATCCAACTTGACAAATTGGACCTTGTTCCAAGCAAAAGGGCCTGACTGCAATCCTCTAGGCTGCAACGAAGGAGCTTGTGTGGGCTGGCAAATGGTCTAGCTGATTCGGAGCACTCAGCGTCATTAACACAAACACTTGGAGGGCGCATTCCAGTAGCAAATTGTTGAATGGGGGAGAGAACTACGGGCTTTATACACATGCATATTGGAGACTTGTCCACAGACATATCCTTAGCGAGAGCCAACTAGACGCAGCCGGTCATCCCAGCTTCCGGGGAGGGAGCAGAGCAATTGGGAGGAGAATCGGGTTGCCTAACCAACCCCATAGAATCATCTGATCGATCCTCAATGTGTTGATCATCTTCCATTTCGAAATTAGGATCAGACACGACATCCGACTCCTCCATCTCATCTTCAGAGTCGTCTGATTCGCCATCGGAGCTGCAGTTGCTAGGAGTAACCGAAACCATCGATTGGCTGGGATGGTTGAGCTGAACATCCACACCTGGCAAAGGGATCGCAACTTGCAAGGGCTGACCGGGCTTGGTTGGTTTGAAACCTGAAGGCTGATCGGGAAGAGGGACCGCACTTTGCGAGCCGGCAGAACCCATAGAGAGGTTTCTGACGCTACCATCTTGCCGATTGACAAAGTTGGCCGGACCTTGCAGGCATGGAAGCTGCACCTGCTTGCACGCCTCCTCCTTAACCCGCCAGATGATGGCTTGTGATTTTGCAACCACCTCATTACATGATTCCCTAGAAACAGGATCCCGAGCCTCAGGAGGAGAATGGGACATGGAAGTCTCCGCCTCCTCGTCGCAGACGGGTGCGATCAGATGCTAGTAGTTGTTTTGCCGGTAGTCCCGCCTACTGCCGCCTCTTCCCCCATTTGGAGGAGGTGACCTAAAGCCACCCCTCTAGCCATCCTAGAGTTTCTCTTTCTAAAAAAGCTCTAGAGAGAGAGGATATCACTTTGCTGAATTTTGAGTTGAACTTGATTTTATAGGATACTTCTATGTAATTCTTATATTTCATGTTGTTTTGCTATTGTTATATTGGATTTCAATCATCACTTGTCACTTTACATCTTGTGAAATTTTTAGTTTCATATGTATGCTAATTTGTCACTTCATAGCTCAATATAAAATTAATATGTCATTATTTAATATATTATTTGAGTATCATACAAAAATTATTTTTAACCTTTATTTTCACTTTACGCAATTTTTGGATTTTGAGGCTTAGGTCTCAAAACGCCTTGAGACTTACGCCTCGTCTCACGAATGAAAAACGCCTCAATACCCAATTGCACAATTTTAAACCTTAGATGAGATATTCTATCTGGATACCTGTAGGATCCTCTTGTTTCCCATTACAATTTTTATTTTATTTTTTGAAAAAAAGAAAAAGAAATGAATATAGATATAATTTAAAGTTTAGAAACGGAATATACCTCACTGTTTGAAAGTGGTACCATGCCAGCCATCTGAGGCCAACAATTTCCATCTGTTCCAAGGATACCATACTCACCTCTACTTATGACTGCCTATAAAGGAACAGAAAATCACAAACATTTAAAATTTTCATGTTCATTTTTCGAAAAAAAAAGGTACAGCCTAGCTGCAATATAGCAAATACAAGGAACATACATTTGTAAGAAAAAGGAATGGCAGTAACCACAAAAATAAATGCCGTAGGAAACGAACCTTCGCATATGGATCCAGAATAACACGAGAATTATCGAAGTAAAGTCCCTCTTCCGGAGAGAACTTTCCATCGAACTTATAACCATATGCAATATCCCTGAACTTGCCTTCCAGAAAGGCGTGCCAAATGCTCCCAGTCTTGTTGATCACTGGATCAAGCGGAATCTCCTCCGTAACTCTATTCTGCACCATAGAACGCTATCGTGATCTCCATCCAAGAATCTACATCGAACTCATATGTAACCCTCAAAAAATATGAATTAACGAATAATCACTCAAAAAACATACTGATAGCTGACCTTCGTCAAATCTGAAAGGGTAAAAAGGCAGAGGGTGGCCGCCGAAGCATCACCAGAGTACACAGCAAAGTTCACTCCAACTTCGTTTGCCGTCGCACCGAATGGCAGCGGCATTCCAGCAAGCACATTATAGGCGCTAAACCCTGGCCTTACGTCTAAAACTGCCTCCGCCTCGGCCTCGGTGCCTTCGACAGCATCGCCGACCAGAGATTCAACGCTGGCTGAATATGAATCGCTGGTTGAATCACTGGAGATCCTCACAACTAACGCTACTCTTGCAGACTTCTTCCCATTCTTACGGTGAAACCTCAACTGAAAACTTTCATCGCCCAATTTTCTGCTCCAGGGACCAAGGCCAGGAGCTTGCGCGGTAATCGAAGCGGCCTTGGCAAGCTCCATTTTCTGATTGAAGCTGCAACGTTGAATCAGGGTTTCGGATGGCGTGAGCTTGAATTATAGAGTTTTGGATCTCGTGCTTGCTCGGCTTGCGAACAAGAATCTGTTGGAGCCTGTGAGTCGATTGATTGGAGAGCGATGTGATGTAGTATGGCCTTTTATACACGTGGACGATGGCGTCGCTTTCATGAGGGCATTCAAATTTTATTTTATTTTTCCACTTCAGCGATTTTAATTCAAAAGAGCCGTTTTATTTTCAGAAAAAGTAATAATGTAATATCGAGTAAAAAATACAATTTAATTATAATGTTGCATGCTCGTTTATTAGGTGTTTAGCAGATAATTGGTTAGTCTTGGTAGAGGAGTATGCCCTCAAGCAGTATGTTTGTTACGCTTTTGTTGTCCTTTTATAAAAACATATCAAATACTTGACAAAAGTACAATCATAATTATGTATTTGCTGTCCTTTTGTTGAGTATTTGCAAAAGCGCAGCAAAAGAATTCATACGTCATACAAAAATTATCTTGATCGGGCACGAATCTCTAGGCAAAAATCAAGTTGGAAACTTCAAAAATTAAATCTGAGAGCATCTGAACTCCAATTTCAGCAAACTTATAGTCAAACTAAGCGTCTCGAAAATATGAACCCAACGACATCAAATTCAACTCAATCTGAGCCCAAATGAGTCCAAATCAAGGACCCGAAGCTTTGTTGGAAAGTTCGTACCACAATTCGAGTTACCAAATGGTCTCCAAACTTGACAAGCTTATGGTTGAATTGAGCGGCTCGACGAGACAAATCCAACGAGCCCAAGATCGCCGAATTCCGAAGTCATTAAGACCTTCAAATGCCTAATAAACGGTCCACAATCGAAGGATTCAATATCGGCCGTTCATTCTAACCACTCTATATTTGCCCCCGATCTCACACCTAGTTACGAGCTATGACATTCCAGAAAATCTATAAATAGACCCCTCATTTCTCATGAGAGGGGGCACAAGCAAGAGAAGAAGGAGAAGAGAAGAAGGTTAGGAGGGAAGAACACCTCCTCGACCACCGCCGCCGGAATTCTGTCCAAGTGATGCCGGAATTACGCCCGCCCTCCAAGTGATGCCGAAATTCCGCCCGACCTACAAGTAACGTTGGAGTTTCACCCAAACTCCAAGTGACACCGGAATTCTCCCTGAATACCATCTAACGTCGGAGTTTTCCTCGGCCACCAACTAACGTCAGACTTTTACCCGACGTTGGACATCCGCTCTTCGCCAAATTTCTACCTCACGCTAGACTTCTACTAATTGTCAGACTTTCACTAGACATCTATCTGATGTTTAATTTCTGTCCATTGATGGACTTCTACCAGGCATGGTCCTTCCGACCTCCGTTGTCTGCCGACTACGGTCCTTCAAACTAATGTCGCCCGCCGACTGCAGCCCTTCTGACCTCCGTCGCCTGCCGACTACGACCCTTTCGACTTACGTTGCACGCCGACTACAATTCTTCCGACCTCCGTCGCCTGCCGACTACGGCCCTTTCGACTTACGTTGCACGCCGACTACAATTCTTCCGACCTCTGTCGCACGCCGACAAGGGTCCTTCCGACTTACGTCGCACACCGACTACAGTCCTTCAGACCAAACAAACACATCAACTAGGATTCTTTGTATTCTCACCATGTAATGTACTCTATAAGATGTACATCAAGCTAAGGCCTTCCCATGAGGAAGGACCTCCTTTGTAATCAACTACAATACTAGTGGATTCATTCATATTGGGCCAGGTCCCGTGATTTTTTCCCCTTTTCAGGGGCTTTCCACCTTAAAATTTTGGTGTCTTATAAATGTTATACACCCTCTCTCTTATCTGATTGCGTGCCAGATTTTCGTACAATGCTAAGACATAAAACTTTATATTGCTCTACCACCGCGAATACTCCTGGACGCAACAAGAATAGTAAATCTGGATGGTTCTCGCCGTTCAGTCTCCACAAAGAAAATTTTTCCTCAAGCATGGCTCATTTGAAGAATTTGTTTATTGAATGATCAACAAACGTTACTCACATATATTTATGAAAGAGCTCACCCTCCGTGGGACAATTTTGGGATTATCAAGCTAGTTGCATGACACTTGCACATAAATGAGCCAAGACCTCATTCACTCGCTCCCCCTTGAAGTGATCATAGGTAATTGCTCACATCTAAAGCAACCATCCTCATCAAACTTAGCTTCAGGGAAGCACTAATCATGGGACCCTCATACTAGCTACAATGTTACGATCATCAAACTCAAAGTTCTCCATCCCTACGATAACATCGCACTCCCTTTTTTTATAGCCAAGGCGATTTGAAATCTCACGTAACTCACCAGCCACATCGACAAGTAGGTCTCCTCATCTCAGCATTCGCTCGCATAATTGTCTAGGCCTATTTGCCTATCCAACATCACCTAGCTCACCCGAAGATAACTCGCTAGAATTCTTCATATCTTGCCTGCCTCTAGCTAACCAGGAGACAACACTTGTCACGGGTGTGTATAACGTTTTATAGGTAATTTATGTAACGTTGTATGTTTTTATTTTTTTTATAGCATTTCACATATTTCTCAAAATTCTATTAATAATGGGTGTTAAGGAACAATTTAGGACATTGCAAGACTTTTGATTGATTTTAGTGAACATTCTGCCATATTGAGATCCATAACTTTGTTGAACTTACCTTTCCTCTCCCAACTCTCTAATCTCACTAGTCAAACTTGCTCAATTCACATGTTTTACTTTCTAGTAAGATATGTCATCTTCCACGGATAAATTTAAATCTAACAATAATGTATGTAAAATATTTTGAAATTATTTCGATCGTTAAAAAATAAATGCAATTATTATTATTATTATTATTTTTGCGTGAAGTAAAATGAAAACATTATGCAGCTAAAGGATGGAAGCTAGCAATTGCGGTGGCATGCTATCGAGGTGCATCCGGCCGGGGGTGGCAGGTGGCGGTGACCAACAACTGGTGTGAACAGTGGTAGGTGGCAAGTTTTTTTTTTTTTTTTTTGCTGAGGGTGATAGATAATGTACAATGAATTTAGAACTTAGTCAAATCTAATGATTTTTAAATACGCCAAAATTTATTTTGATGGTGAATTTCAAATATTTTATATTTTAAGTTGGATTTCTTTTAATTCAAATCAAATACTAATATTTTCAAAATACATCTATTTGAAATACTTTACACTCAATTTACTTCACTAATTTATTTAATTTTTAATTTATACTCACAATTAGTTATTCACTCATCAAAAGATAGTGGATTTGAAATATTTTGACCCTCAATAATTGGGTTGGCCCATATTGGGGAATCGATTTGAGGTAAAATAATGATAAACAAAATTAAACGTGAAATAATGATAAATTTTTTTAGATATGAAAAAGAACTACTATTTTTTCATGTTTTTTTTAAATAACTTCTTATATAAATCATCGATTCTAATTTTTTTGAAGTATTTTTATAATAATATTTTTAAATCAATTGGCTTAATAGCTCTTATGTCAAGTTAAATTGACTGTAGCTTCACCTATTAAGTATTAAACTCATATAATTTTACTCAATAAGTCACTAAATTAGCTCACAAATCAACTTAACACAGATATATATAATATAAATGAAAATGATAAGAAAATTAGAAGAGCTTTATTTAGGTTTCGTTTGGGACATCATTTTTATTGCTTCTTAAAACAGCTTTTTAATACAAAAAATTTTGATTTTTTACTAAAAAGCTGCTTTAAGAAGCAATAAAAAAGCCGTCACAAATGAAGCCTTATTGTATAGTTATATTATTCTTTGCTAAATTGGATATATT